GCCCTGTGACTTGCTTTAACTCAACAGAACGCAGAGGAAGCGAAGTTGTGTGACTGCTGAGGCTGGGCCTTGTGATATCTGCAGCTTCTACTTGCCTGGAACGCTCCCTCTTGGATCCCAGTTGCCTTGCTGTAAGAAACTCAAGCCGTGTAGAGAGGTCAGGGGGAGGAGATCCTTGAAGCTCGGTCAACAGCCTCAGGCAGAGCTCCAGGCTGACAGCCAGGTGAATGAGTCATTTTGGACATTTCTGGCCAGTCGGCCCTCCGAGTGACTGCAGCCCTTGCAAACACCACTTTGGAGGAGAGGACTACTTGCCTGAGCCCAGTCAACTACAGAATTGTGAAAAACAGTAAAAAGTTGTGGTGGTTTAAAAAAATGTGTGTGTGTGTGTGTGTGTGTGTGTGTGTGTTTAAAAAAATATGTGTGTGTGTGTTTAAAAAAATATGTGTGTGTGTGTGTGTATAAATATAAAACCTTTCTTTTTTAGAACAGGTTCAGATTAACAGAAAAATTATGAAGAGTTTTGTATACTCTGAAACTATTTTTCTCTGTCATCTTACCTTAGTACATTTGTAAAAATTAACGAACCAATATTGACATGTTATTATTAGCTAAAACCCATACTTTATTCAGATTTTCTTAGTTTTTACCTGATGTCCTTAATTCTATTCCAGGATTCCATCCAGGATATCACATTACATTTAGTCATTTTGTCTTCTTAGGCTCCTTTTGGCTGTGAAAGTTTCTTAGACACTTCTCATTTTCCTGGACAGTTTTGAGGAGTACTGGTCGGTATTTTGTAGGACGCCACTGTATTGGGATTTGCCTGATGCTTTTCTCATAATCAGAGGGAGATAATTGGGTGGCAGACTATAGCCACAACCATTACTTTTTTAAAAATCATTTTTCCTTTTTAACCCATAACTCTTGGTTTCTCATCCTCTTACTCTTGAAGACCATTGATAAATTCTCTTTAAAACTTTCTTGCTATGGAAAATGTGAAGTGCATACAAAGGAAATATAAATGAATCCCTACACACTCAATACCAGGCTTCAATAGTTGTCAACATTCTATCATACTTGTTTTATCTATACTTCCATCCATTCTCAATCCCTATTAGATTATTATTTTACAATTTTTTTCAGGTAAAGTGGACCTGAAAATTGTAACTTTCATTGTAATTATAACAGTATAATTTTGACTAATGGGTACACCCATATAATCCATACTCCTATCACACATACAACATCTCTATCTCCCCAGAAAGCTTTCTTGTGTTCCTTCTCTGTAATTAGTTCTTTAAAAATAAAAAAATCCAGATATCTTTTCTCAATTACCAGCCTCCTTGACTTCTTGACAGCATCTGACAGTATTGACTATACCTTTTTCTTGAAATTCTCCTCTTGATTTCAATGATGCAAAAGTATTCCAATTCCTCCTCAAGTCACGTCAGTTTTACCTTCAAAATACACCTCAAGTCTGTCTTTCTTCCACTTGTAACACCACTACACTAATCTAAACCAATATCTACTCTCTTATCTGAATGACTACAACTGACTTCTCACTATTCTGTCTCTACTCTTGTCTCTCTCCAATCCATTCTCCATACTGCAGCCAGAGGGATCTTTTAAAAACACAAATCATATCATGTTACTCTCCAACTTAACCTTCAATGGCTTCTCAGTGTACAGAGAATGAATCCTTATTCTACACCATGATCTTTGCGTCCTTCCAAGGTGTCTGCCATCTTCTCTAACCCCCTATTACCAGTTGGCCACACAGGACTTCTGATAGTTCTTAGGAGAGGCCGAGGGCTTTTGAAGCTGTTTCTTCTGAATAAACACTGTTCCAGCTCTTTACATAGCTGCCTCCTTCATCCTTTAGGTCTTAGCTGAAATGTCTTCCTCTCAGAGAGGCTTCCTTGACCACTCTAAGCTTGTCCTCCCAGTCACCCTATATTATATTACTTTATTTTATTTTCTTCATAGTACTGACCACAATCCATAATTATTACATTTATATTTGTTTCTCCCAGTAAAATATAACCACCTTGAGAGTAAGAACCATGTCTTTTTGGTTCATTGCTGTATCCTCTAATAACGTATACTCAAGAATTATTCACTGAAAAAAATGGATTTATTGCAAATCACTGTCTTGTAGAAAATTCCCTGCTTTTTTTTTTTTTTTTTTTTACAAAACCAGTTACCTTTCCTGGCTTCTTTCTGTTAACAGACAACCACAAATTACGTTATCATAGTACTATGATGAATTCCTGCATTAACATCCAGCATTCCAAATATAATAAGGTTTTTAAACCAAGAAAAGCTTAAGAAAGAAAAGCATAGAAACATAAGTTAAACTAAGGGTAGACTGTTGAAGTTATAACCTAATAACTGATAATAGAAGCCTCTACTTAACGCAAGTATAAAAAGAAAGTTCTTGTATTTGTTAGTCTAATTGATTCTAAACTCATACATTTTTGAATAATTTAAAAATCAAGAAGCCAGTTTTTTCCCTCAGAAAGAAGGTATACACTAAGTTTATGACACAATAAAATATTCTATATTGGTCTAATTACACGCTCACCAAGTTTCAATTACAATTTAGCTTCCCAGGGCCTAGAGAATGTATTGTATTAGCCAGAGGATCCAAGAGGCAAGTCTTCCTTAACATTATAGTTCATTATAAATAAATTACTTGGGATCTTGAGGAAGGGTCCATGTGTACTTCAGAAATCTTGGGGTGTGTGTACCTTGGGTGTTCTGGGTGTGAGTGTCTCTCTGACTTTGGGGAAGATTCCCAGAGTGTGTGTTCTCTCTGAGATTCAGGATGTAGATGAGTCTGATGAAAGTCTACAGGCTTCTGCTTTGGCTACAGAAAGAAGGATGAGATCTTGTGTGATGGGAAAAAAATAAGCAAGAGGACAGGATGGTAACAATTCTTCTACCGAACCCATGGATTGTAGAGAGCAGGGATTCAGAAAGAAGCTGAGAGAGCTGTTTTCATGAGAGACCCTGAGATTTGGGCGCATAAACAGTTCCCTGACGTCCAGCCCACAAAGTACTATGCAGTGGAGAAGGTGGCAGCCCCCCTAAAACTCAGGGAAGCACTGCATGAGGCCAATGGGCGATGAGGACTGGTCTGTTGGGAACTCACAGATATTTTTTCCTGCCTTTTTATTGTTTTTTAAATATTTTACTGATGTGAAATTCACATAACATAAAATTAGCCACTATAAGGTGAACAATTCATTGAAATTTGGTATATTCACAATGTTGTAGAACCACTACCTCTATCAAATTCCAAAACATTTTCATCACTCAAACTAGAAACTTTGTACCCATTAAGTAATTATTCATCGTTTTCCCTTTTCCCCAAAACAATCCCTGGCAAACACCAGTCTGTATCCTATCTCTATAGATTGATCTATTCTGCATATTTTATTTAAATGGAATCATATAATATGTGACCTTTTGTGCCCGGCTTCTTCTCCACAGCATATTTTGACAGTTCCCAGTGACACTTTGACACCTCTCCACTTTTGCTCTGGTGAAGGAATAAGCCTTCCCACAGAGATTACCATTAGCAGGGGCAGCAGCAAAAGCAGCCCCCTGAGGAGGGTCCAGGGCAGCAGATGATGCTACAGGTGCTGGACACTGCTCTGAACACAGTGTGAGACACTCTCAGAGCCCCCAGAAGGATTAGGGATAACTTTGAAAGGAGAAAAGGAGGGTGAACTGAAGGTGATATTGAGGGTCCCATATGACCCGGCTGAGAAAAGGCCCAGCAGATTCAGGACACAGAGACAGATACAGAAAAGTATACGTAAATACACAGATAACTATTTCTACACGGGGTTTGACAGTGATAAATAATAGTCACTCAAGCTTTAGCTTGAAAAACGAAACCAAATAAATTACCACTTAAAATATAAAATGTCTAAAAAGTTATCAGTGATGGCTCTGTGTAGCAGAAATAAGGTACATACTTTTACTTTTTACTGTATCAATTCTGATTTGTTTTAATTTTTCAAATAAATACACAACTTGTGTCTGGAAAAAGTCCAGCCATTGTTAATACAAGAATGGTTTGCTCAACACTGATGTAACCTGGCAACTAAGGAGAGTGGACTGGAATGTGCATGTGTGAACAATGACACCTTTACTGCATTAGACAGTAGGGGGTGGTAGATGTCACTTAGAGAACATGCGTACTGTGTGGCCGTCACATTCAAAATGACTAAGAGAGTAAAGAAATGAATCTGCATCAAATTTTGTGTTAAGCTTCAACATTCCTCCACGGAAACTATTCAGATGATTCAGCAGGCCTCAGCTCTAGGCAACTGGTGATTGGCAGCTTCATCATGGAAACATGCCTGCTCATGCATCACGTCTCGTGCAGAGTTTTCAGGCAAACCATCAAATCACCCAGGTGACTCAGCACCCCCAAGCCCAGATTTGGCATCCTGTGGCTTCTGGCTTTTCCCAAAACTAAAATTGCCTTTGAAAGGGAAGAGATTTTAGACCATTGATGAAGTTCAGGAAAATATGATGGGGCAGCTCATGGAAACTAGGAGAACTACGTGAGGTCCCAAAGGGTCTAGTTTGAAGGACACTGAGGCATCATTGTCCTATGTACAATGTTTCTTATATCTTGTATCTTCTTCAATAAATGTCTCTATTTTTCGTAACACATGGCTGGATACTTTCTGGAAAGACCTCGTATATTACTTGCATAACAAAACATTAGAAGATAAAGTGCTAGTATTCTACAAATTAACCATTAAGTTCTCTATGAGTTCAGTGAAATCTGTTTTAAATTTCTCACATAACGAAAATGGATATTGAGAAGAAAAAAAAAATTCAATCTAAGGTTAAGGTCTAACTTAAATCAATCTAATTTATAAATTCACCTGAAACAAAATGCCCACTCTACTCATCCACTGCCTCTGTTGTTTAAATTCTACTCAAATTGTTTGCATTTTTAGTAATTCACTGACCTTGGAACCGCTTTCTTCCGATACTTCTCCCTCATTGGTTTGCATGGGAACAGACTCTGTGCAAAACTCTGCAGAAACACACAAATACTGCCTAAAAGAGGCAGGAAGAAAAAAATACATAAGGAAGTTGGTTCAAACATTTGGTTTTTCAAAGATTAGAATGAAACTGTTACCAAGACCGTAGATACTGTGAAGCAACAGCCCTGAGTAACGTGTGTGTGTCTATCTGTACATACATGTGAATCTGAGGTAGAGAGGGAATCTTCCCCACCTTAGAGGAGGATAATTAGAAAAGGATCAAGACATTAGAGTTTTGAACATTTATAGATAATTTTCCTCGTTTTATTTGACTTTTGGTAGAGGCGATAGCGAAAATCTTCAGTAATTCACACAGTACAAATACTGACCTGTCAGAAAGGACGACCACCTAAGTGGACCGAGTGTTAGGTGGTGGTTAGTCCCATGGCCTGGATGCTCAGCGAGGCTATTGAAACTGACTGGGTTTCTTGGGTTTCTAATTTATGTTCAACATATATGGTATTTTATAACTGAAATTAAGGTGTACTCTAATGATTGATCCTACTTGTTTTAAGAAAATTTGCTTAATAAATTTAATGTCAATTAATTTATTTTTATGTGAGAACAGGCTATTCATAGGGCAAAACAATATAAAATAGTAATTTTTCCTCTAAGAATAAAATGAGTCAAGTAAAAGTTTATTAAAGAGTTCTTAATTAAAGTGTACCAAAAGAAAAATATGAGTTTATGCAACATTCAAATTAATTCATTAAATATGTAATTAATAAGGAATCATTACTCAAACTGACAAAAAACAAATCTCCATTACAATGCAGGTATGAATATTCTAAGATGTTTCAAATACTTTAAAAGGTTCACAGCTACAAAAATACAAAAGCTAAAGAGATGCTTGATAGTGTATCTTTTTCTGTGTGCAGAGAAATCTCTTTATGAATGTAGCAGCTTGGGGACCTGGCAATCTGGTTCTGGTCCAGGCTTCTCACTAACCAGCCGTAAGACCTGAGGCCAAGAAGGCAGTTCTGGGAATGTTTCCTCAGCAGCTGGGCTGAAAAGGGGTATCAAAATATCTACTGTGATAACCTAATGAGATTTTTTTGGGAACTAATGTGTATTTGTCTGATGTAAAATTTAAAATCAGTATAGTGGAAGCTCTCTCAGTCAATCCCCAGTCACCCATTCCCTTTGTAAGACATGACTGATGCACAGAGCAAGTGAAACAGGCTTTCTCTAATTGGTTTTCACCCTTACCTGTTTATGACAATTGTGCAAAAACATAATTGCTCTATGAAAATTAAATTGATAGCACTGGAAAAACTCAATTAACATATCTAGAAAGATTTGGTATGTAAATTGCTTCACAAATGCCTTTAAGTTCTCATTCTACTTTACTGAAACAGAGATTGTATTTCGTAGATGATGCATTATAGACATAGCTGACCAAGAAAGGCACCCCAATTATCTCTGTGCCATTTCCATTTGAATATCCTGGGGAAGAAGGAATGCTTCTCCCCTCTCCCAAGCTTCACTCCTGGCTCCTCTCCATTTCCACACACACTCCCAGAGGAGGTACAGGATCTTATCTGAAAGGTGAGTTCAGAAGGAGAAACGAGATATGGGAGCTCTCTCTTCCTTTTGGAAGCCAGCTGTCTCCAGGGAGCACACATTCTCCTCTGCTCCTGTCCCTATCAATACAGGCCCCTCACAATCACCTGAGACTAGGTAAGTCTGATGAATTCTGAGGTTCAGTGTTAAGGAGTTCACTTGCCTGTAGGTGTTAAGTTGCATTCTCCAATTTAGCTTTATTCATAGTAGATATGATATTTTGGTTCCCCAAATGTCTCTTTTACCTTATTTCTCAATCGGTATAGAAGTCAACCAAGGGAAAAAGAGTGCTGCTTATCTGGATCTCTCACAGACCTTAAGACCTACTGCATGAGTCCAGAGTCCCATCTGGGGAGTAACATACCTGTGGAATTTCTGAGGCTTCTGTTGGGGCCAGGAATTAGGGCTTTGGTTTTTTCTTTTTTGAGGGGGAAAACGAAGTGTTTTGACCTTGAAGAGGTTTACATTAGGCCACATGAGTACTTATAGTAGTACACTAGCTTTTAACTATTGAGGCCAAATTAGAGGTTTATAAATCACAGGTCACACTGTTGAACTTAGAGGTGACAGTAGTTAGGGCAACTTTGTCTTCAGGTAGTGACTGTTTTCATAGAGAAAGGCTGCATGCACGGGCACAGACACCTTAGCACAGGTTTGCAGGGCATTGCCAAGAGGCAAGCCGCAGTCGTCCGTGGTGGTGGTGCTGAAAGCCGTCAGCTGTGCAAGTGGTCTCAGCATACACGGGCGAGTCTGGCCTCGCAAGCAAATGCCAGCTGTGCTGCCCTCAGCAAAGGGAGCAGGGCATTAGCAGGCCTGGGTGGCTTCAGAGGACAGAAGAGTGCTGCCTGACCTTGAATTATGCAGACACAGCTTTTCCTAAGCAGGCATAGCTGCAGAAAAGACTGGGCTTTAGGAAAAAAGACTATCCTCGTACATGCCTTTTAGATATTAGTGAGAACAACTGTTCAATGTATGTAAGCTGCAAGGAATGTGGGCTACAAAACCAATGAACTTCTATGTTTAAACTGTTTGTGCTAGGCTTGCACAGGCAATTCAAAGGGCAAATGGAAATTAAGAGGTTCCTCACTGTATTTCATAGAGGGAAGGAAGGAGAGAAGGGCGGGGGGGGGGGGGTGTGGGAAGAATAGAGGCAGGCAGGGAGGAAACTTACAGAGGAAAGGAGGAAACTTGGTAACTGGGGCTGCCACTATAAAACTCGAAATTCTGAAAAGAAGAGTTGATATTTCAAACAGTAATCTTTCAAAGAGAAGACAAGGTGCACTGGTTGAGTTTTTTGCAGATGTGATAAAGGCACAGTTCCAAATTTAACCTCCTGCTGACAGATTGTTCCAAATTGGGTGGCAGTGTCCAAGTCATGGATTCTGGACACTGGCATGGACTAAGTGGGTATCTTGGTGAGGCTCAAACTGAGAGGGCCTCATCCACCTTCCCTCCCGCAGACACTAATACATCTCGGCTATAATCTTCGACAAGACTGAGTGCTGAATTCAGAGAACATAACTTTATCAGAAATACCACTCTTGGGCTAGAGGCAGGCTTACTTTCTTTCTTTCTATAAAGATTTTATTTATTGATTTTCAGAGAGGGAGAGAAACATCATGAGTGAAACATCAATTGGTTGCCTCTCACATGCCCCCAACTAGGGACCAGGCCCAAAACCCAGGCATGTACTCTGACCAGGAGTCGAAGTGGTGACCTTTTGGTCTGTGGGACGAAGCCCAACCCACTGAGCTACACCAGCCAGGGCTAGGCTTCCTTTCTGAATTTGGTGGTTGTGGGGACAGTGTCAAAATGATTTTGTTTAGTCTTGGAGTTCATATAATTTGTATACTGTTCTGATTCATTTTAGAATCTCCTGGGGACAAAGTCTATTAATGGTCCCAAGAGGAGACTGCGGAGAATAGTGGTTGGCAGCGGAGGGCGGACATCATGAAAGTGGGAGTAGGACGGTCAGGAGATCACCTCTGCTCCAGGGGGACAGGCGCACCGCAGCTGACTGACAGTCACTGCTGAAGGGACAAAAGCTGGAGAGTGTTGGAGGAGGGAAACTTCTTCCCATTCTTGATGCTTCCCTCCATATGGATATGTCATATCAATACCTATTTTTTAATTTGTCCTTTACTTAATTTACTCTCATTCTTTTGTTTTGGAATTACTCTTAAAAATATTGTCTTGATGACATTCTTGTTTGAAGGCATAGCTTACAGTTGTTTCTAAGGTTCTAGGTCAGCTTTACTGTGCTTTTGACAAAAGGGAAAGAGAATCAGGCAATGCAGAAGTATATGGTTAAGCTAGGGGTTCCACTTGGGGAGTGACATAGGGTCCAGTGTATCAGTGCTAATAGAGTGACGAAAAAGTCAAGGCAAAGTCCACTTATGTGAAAGTTAACTAGAGGGGTGAACAAGTGGCAGTAAAGCTGTCAAAGATGACGTGACAACAAAAGCATTTCATTTCTGCTTCAGCACATCATTTCACCTCAGAGCTGTCATCAGTTTGCCATGCACAGTAAGTGACAGATAGTTGTGACCTGGCACAGTGCTCCAGCACACACAGGACAGGACTCAACAAATGTTAACCACCAGATATGAGTAATGTCACACAGCGTATGTGCTAGGTCTCCTCTAAAGGTTGGCAAATACATTGATATTTTCAGAGTCCTCCAGGATCCAGCCCTCATCTGTCTCTCCAGTGTCATTGGCCAGGCCTCTTTGTTCCTTCTGTTCCAACCATATGAACTACTTATCGCTTCACAAATATGCCTGGTTGTTTCAGGTTTCCATGTTTTGGTTCCTATTAGTCTCTCTGCCTTTCCCTCCTTTAATACCCCTCATTAAGATGCAGCTTTTAGAAAGTATTTCCTGATCCATCTCTAGGCAGAGCTGATGATTTCCTCCTCAGTGTCCCCAGCAGATTTTGTTTGAATCCTGTTATAGGATCTGTAACTTTACTGGATGTATTTGCTTGCACAGATGCCTTTTCTATTAGACTGTCAACCCTTTGATACCAGTCACTCTATCTCATTAATCTCTATATTTACAGTTTACTTAAAACTGTGTACCTGTATTTTATGGGGATTCAATAAATTTCTATGTAAAAATGATTGAATTAATCAACTAAAGTTCTTTTCACTTAAACTGCAATAGATATTGATTCAATAAACATTTACTGGGTCCCAATCATATGCCAGATGGTGCTGGGCTAATGCAGTGTAGTACAATAAGCACTGGTTTTGAAGGAGCAAAATCATTATTCTTTGACATTTACTAGCTGTGTAATCTTGTGCAAATTACTTAACTTTTTAATCTTCATTATTTTCATCCATAAAACTGGTCAGGAAGAGGTATTATAAGTATTAAATTAAATCTAGGAGCAGCCAGTAGGCACTTAAAAAATAATTCCTTTCCAAGAAGTCTCAAAGGGTTTATACACTAGTAAAGGAGATATAATAGAAATTAATAACTCTAATGTAAAACAACAAATGCTTTGTTACTATAATAATAACAGGTGCTCCTAGGACAGATGAAAAAGAAATTCTGCAAGGAAGTCTAGGAGAAGGAGACAATAAGAAAGACACGAGAAGGAAGAGTGGCTAGTCACATTCTTCTCCACTCTTCCAAACTCCAAGCAAAGCAAAAGTATCAACCAAGGCACAAAGCTGTGAAAAAGAATTAAGTATCTGGGAAACAGAAACAGGCTTGCAGATAGGGGTTCAGTAAAAAAGAAGCCAGAAATGTCTATCGCAATTAAGTTTTGAAGGGGTTTATAGCATGACATCTGTAGCAACAGGGAGCCATGAGAGCTGTTTAAGCAAAGGGGAACCATGAGCAAACCTCTCACTTAGAAAGCCGCCTCTGGCAGCAATGCAGATTACGGACTGCAGCAGGGAGAGACTGGGGCAGAGAAGCTAGAATACACTCACAGAACACTGTGGGATGGCAAATCCTAATAACAAATTCCAGCTTTACAAAAGGATGAGGCACCAAATGTCAGTATCAATCTAAATACAAGTGCTTTTTAAAGGGACCTACAGGCGCAGAAATGTAAAGGGCTGATGTGATGAACACTTTAAATACCCTTCTGTAAAACTCTGAAAGCAGCAATGACGTCAAAACGTACTTTTCTTCTTTTTAAGATAAACACTCTCCTATTTTATTGTCAATACAGGGTGGATATAAATTTTAAAAACTTACCTTTGACAGTACCCTGGGGCAACACACGCCCGTGAAGATGAATCTAGACTACATTCAGTGCAAAAACCAAAACCCTGAAGAGAGAAAAAAATCACAATGAGCCACACATTCATAGCAAGACACCATGGCAAGTGGCAGAGTACAAGTTCAGAATTGAGGCAGCCTAGCACCAATCCTGGCTCCTACGTCTCCAAACTATTGCATCTCTGGCTAATGGCCTAACCTCTCAAACCTCCGCTTCTTCATTCAGCACTGGGAACAATACCCGCATCTTCCTCAGAGGGTTCTTTGGAAGTTTAAATAAAATATGCATAAAACACTTAGCACAGGGCAGCACGAACCACATGTTCAATAAAGGCAATTAGTTATTACGAATGTGAACTGAAATACTTCCTGAAAAAACAATAAAACCTATATTATACTTACATTATTTATTTTATCTTTTTTGTTCTACCACAAAAATGCCAAATTGTCTTTTCAACTTCTCCATGTGACATGAGGATATCTCCTAATTTCCTTACCTTCAACATGTCCCAAACTGCCCTCCTCATTCCCCACCCAGACCTCATTCTCCGTCTTCATTACCTCAATCAAGGGCACCATCCTCCGCAAGCATTCTGAGCTGCTGGTCAGAACCTCAGATTCATCCTAAATTTCTCACTTTACCTCAGCCCTCTCATAGCACATCAGCAAGTCCTGTCCATTCTGCTTTCACAATACGTATCTCAGATCCACCCACAATTCTTCATTTTCATTGCCATCATCATTTCTCAATTGAAAGTCCTCTCAGGTGGCCTCCCGCAGCCTATTCTTGCTCCTCACTAATCCATTCCCAAATAATGGGTGCAACGGCCTCTTCAAAACCAAATCAGATCACAGCAAGTTGCCAATAAATGTAGTGAAATGTTTATTTCAATATGGAATGTCTCTTAATATATATGAAATACATATTTATATACCTGTAAATATACAAATATATAAAATGACAGCCATTTATTAATAGACATTTAGAGATCCCAAGCCAATCCCTTCATTTTACGATGGCAAAAACAAATGTCAGAAGGTATTCTTTTCAAGGCTGGATGTGTGTGTGTGTGTGTGTGTGTGTGTGTGTGCGCGCGTGTGAGAGGGGGAGAGAGAGAGAGAGAGAGAGAGAGAGAGAGAGAGAGAGAGAGAGAGAAGGTGGGCAAAACAATGCCAGACAAGCCTGGCAGAAACTTATTTGTGATTAGCATCCACACAGTGTCAGGAAGCCTGTCACTATTTGGAGGCTGGCTCCTTAGTTTCACAATCAATGTTTCTGTCCAAGAAAGTGCATTCCATTCCCCATGGCTACAGACTGTAAATTATAGCTTTAGTCCCACATTATGTCATGATGTTTGAGGTGGTACTTTAGTGAAACTTGCAAACACCCTGCTGCCCCCTATCTGTCATCACCTCTACATTAGCTTATTTTTTAACAGTGTTAGAATAAATCAATCTCAGATGGAACTGTGTTGTAACGAGTATTAGTAAGACTTTATTATCTCCACCTTCCTACTACGAACACCGCTGTCCCAGCAATCTTCTAAAAAGCACATTTGACCTCTGAGTATGTCAGTGCCAAAATTCACTCAAGAATTTCCCTCAAGACCTGCCCCATTACCTTCGGGGTGAATTGAAGATCTTTCTCAGGTGCACCATCGCTTCACACTCTGTCCACATGGATTGCACAGGGCTTCCTTGCCCACAATACGTGCACTAATGTTTCTAAGGGCCCTTTCCCTAATTCCCTCCTATTCCTCTTTTGAGACCTGCCTCAGGTGCTGACTCCTGAACTTTTCTGTACCCTCCTTGGCTGCACTGTGTTCCTCCTCTGAGGTATACCATATAATATTGGTAATATCCATGGGTCTGTTTCCTTCTCTCAACAGGAGCTCCTTGACAGTAAGAATGATCTATGTCTTACAGATTTTTGAATTTGGTACTGGGTAAGAGTTTAATAAACATAAGCTGAACTGAATCCCGACACGATCTCTATAACTCAATACTTCAAAATAGATGTTTCCCCATTAAATGGGGGAAAGTAGAAGAAGCTGGCTGCAACTTCCAAGATGGGTCTGGTCCTCACAGAGAATGCAGGCTATGCGGTTATGTGTGACCCTCAGCACCTCAGAGACAGACTGGATTCTTTAATTTTTCTTGCAGCCACAGACTATCAAGATAACAACCCCGACTAAATTTCAGTTCTCTATTCTGACTGGTTTGCGCCCAAACTAAATAAGACTGCTTCTCTGGACTTATGAGTAGTTTAAACTCTGTAGCAGCTTCATAAGGTAGCTCATTATTACATATCTTGCTAACAGACAAGCTTAGGACACAGTGGCCAGCTCAGTCCTTTGCCTGTTTGGCAGCTGGCCCCAGACACTGATGTTCAGTAAGAGAAAAGGAGTTAGAGCAGAGGAGAGGCAAGCAAGGGAAACTGGGCAATTTTCCAAGTACTCTGGAAACCAGCTTCATTACTTTCTCTGCAGGGCTGTGTACCTCTATATCAGATGTACTCATACTTAAGATAAACATAAAATTTAATTCTAAAATCAACATTTGAAATTATCTAGTTGAAGTTATCTACAGTACTATTTTCCTTCTAAGGTATGAGTAATAGCAAATTCCTTCAAAACATCATTTTGAAACGTTCAGAACTATACACTGTAATCCGACTATCTGATCCTGTACAGCCGCAACAGTAAACTTGGTGAACCACTCCAGTTTTCTCTCCTCTCTTGCAGAGTAACCAGGTTGGCTTTGGAATTTGCACAGGGGTAGAGAAGGTTCAGTGAATCTTGGATTAAATCAACCCCTGGGATCTGCCAATCTGCAAGTGGATCTCAAGAGGTCCTCCACAGCCAAGCACCTAACTAAACTCACAGAAGGTAATTAGAACTGAATCTTTCCTAAGGAATATGGCAGATTAAAAGAAATACATATTAAATAAACTATATTTACTAATATTACCTCTGATATGGTAGGGTTTGATTTTCAAACTTGATTATTTAGCATGATTCTTTTATTTTAGTTTTAATTCTCATTTCAAAAAATTCAAGCACTATGGATAAGGCTGTCTTCTCTCCCTTGACACAGGTTTTCCCAGGATTCACCAGTTTTTCTGATTAATAACCAGCATAACTCTTGGGGTGCAGACTATGAAGAATATACTATAAACTTTTACTTGACTCACAAATAACACTGAAAACCCTGACTGCTATGTCATTGGCAACTGGCCTAACTTTAAGTACGATGTTAGGAAAAGATGTCCTAAGTGAAGCAGTAGATGGGAGGGAGGAGCACACACCAGCAAGGAGGCTGGGAAGCTCTTCCCAGGAGGGGAGCATGGACCAGGAGGATACCACGAATCCAGCTCTCTACGCAGACACCCAGACCAGGTGGGCAAGGAGCAGCCTACTAACACAACTAATAATGACAAACACCCAGGGAGCACCGCCACAGGCAAATGGGTTAACACACAAATACACCAGGGTTACTACTGTTCCAAGGCCTTTGCAGTTTCAGGTCACTTCTACTTCAGTTTGGCCCTTTCGAAATTCTGTAAAAATGTGCAAGCCTTCCCATTCTTACAAATAGCCCCTTTAATCCTGTAGCCGATTTGAGCTTCTTTGTCCTCCCTCATCTCTTTCCTCTCCTAGTCAAGCTTTTTTTAAAAAAGCTTTTATTTGTGGTCTCAATGAGCTTATTCTCATTCTTATTAATTATTGCAATTTGATTTCTTTCCCTATCATTCCCATTTGCCAAATACAATGGATGTTATTCAATTGTTTTTGTTTTAACTTTGGCATTTAAAAATCAGAATGATTTGAAACTGTCATTTGGGATCTCCTTTCCTATCTGGATATTAAGGAACGCAAATCCAGCCACTGCACCGGGGGCACTACACCTGAGTTCCTGTGGCTGGGTCTTCCTGCTTGCCTGGGTTTTCAACTAGCCCAAGGCCTTAGTCCATACTGCTGATTTTCAGATTCCCCTCATGGGCAGGGTGGTGCTGGGCAAGGAGTTGCTGCTTCTGTAATATAGGGGTTGGAGGGACAGGGGTTGTGGCAAAAGAACCAGACTCAACTCCTGGCGTCAAGGACTGAGCCTAGTTCTGATGTCTAAACTGACAGGGAACATGTTTAGTCCCTTTACCCCACAGAAGGGGCCAAATTCATCACTTTTGCTGCCTCTTAAACCAATTTTTACCAGTCTCTTTCGCTGGATAGTCTTTCTCTGTTTGTCCTTTGATTACTGGTATGTTTCTTTGGAGATCATCCTTCCCTTCCTCTTTTTACTATATATACAACATGTCCTTATCCTCTCCCACAGATGTGACTACTACCTGTTTCTTGATGACCTCCAACCCCCTCCCCAGTGCCATCTTATAATCATCAAAGCCATCTATACAACTATCTAACGTCTCCACCTCATGTCCCATGGGTCCCTAAGACACAGAACAACTAAAATTGAAACAATCCTCCTCCAAACTGGGTCCTCCTTCTGCCTCACGGAAAGACTGCCATCCCACTCAAAGAAAAAAATCTGGGACCATCAGCAACTTTCCTTCAACAAACATAAATATTTCACTATGTTCATTCTTTCCCTGCCACTGCCTTAGTTCTGGTATAGTTTCTCACCAGATTTATTCCGTTTTTTCATATTGGTTTTCCTTCCCTTAAGACCCACCCTACCTCCACTGCCATTAGAATTACGTTTATAAAGTACAAACCCACATTCCCTCTGCAATGTCTCTCATCCAGTTTCAAGATAAAGCCCAATCTCAATGCCTGATATACAAGGCCTGGTTCCTGTTCATCTCTCCGCCTCATCTCACATAACCACATTGCTTTAAATACCACCTGGTTTCATGTGCCTGTGACTTTGTATATGCTGTTTCCACTTGGACTGCCTTCCCACTCACAGGGAAATAGGAAAACCTTTTCTATGAAGTCTTTCTTGATTCCTCTCCCTTGCTAAAGGTGGTGTGGATGGGTCCTTCCTCTGAGTTAGCAACTATACTAGGTATATATTTCTACTAGGCTTCTGT